AAAAAATCACTTGTCTGGTCATCTACGACAGTTTGGGTTTTAAAAAGAAAAACCTATTGCTACTACTTTAGCTTCTGAATCAACTTGTAGTTTACGACATACACATACACGTATATGTAACATAATCATGATAATCACATACATCATGACACGTACATACATTATCCTATATAGACACAATCAATAAATATTACTCAAGCAACCTAGGAAACTTCTGACCTTCACTGAAATCCCCAGATGGGAATCTTCTGAGAAGTCAAGGATTTTGCTGTCCCTTCTTCCACTTTCATGTTCTGCTCCTATTCCTATCGTGTTCTTAGGACAAGTGTATTCTGAGACATGCAAGGCTATCCACAGCCCTTTTGCAGCCTCTTAGCACCACCTGTGAGCCTGTTAAGCTTACAAACACTTCTCTCAGGACATGTTTTCATGGCACTGATGCAGGAGATGAGTTTGTGACAAAAACAGCGAATATCCACATTTAGTTCTAGCTTGTATTTATTTTATGGAACTTGAATGTGTATGCTCAGCATAGACACTTAGAGATGGTTTGTTTAATTTCCAGATAGAAATTAGGGCTGTTTCTGGTTTTCACTGTGGAAAAGAGAGCTAGCAGACAGGAAAACCAAGTTTTGCTTTACCACCTCAGAAAGTACACCTTCCTTAGTGTGGAAGCTTTTGAGATACCACATGAAAGGACAGTACAACTAGCCTTTGCATTTGTTCCAGCTGAGTTTCATGCTAGCCACACACATTTACATCTCCTATAAAATTTAAGAATTTTTAGAGGACCATTTAGTCAACTATCTTGTTCAGTTCTGGTAGTAATTTACAGGGTCATGCCAGTATGGTATTATAATGCTAAGAGTACTGTATCAGTTTCAATGCCTCTTATACTTCTCCTCTGCAGACAACTTGACAAAATTTAAAAAGTTACTTGGAAAAAAAGAAGTAGCTACATTTCAGCTAAAAAAAATTCCACAAATTTGTTATACAGAGGAATAGTTCTGGCCAAAACCAGAATGTTCAGCAAAAACACTTCCCTTTTGACATTTGCAAATGAGCCCTATGGATGTTCTGAGATCTGCATGAATTTATTGTATCTGTTAAAATGAAGAGTTCGAAATACTGAACATAAAAACCTCAAGCATATCTACCTTCCCACCAAGGGAAAAAAATCCCACAAATAATCAAAGGAAAAAAGTAATAGTACATATTTCAGGTTAAGCAACACGTTTCAAACTTTTTTTTTCTTCAGTCTGGGGACAAAACATATTCTTTTCATGCTCAGATACCCTAAAAATTATTTCTCCAAGTTTTTCTTTGGTTATCTAGCAAGTGAAAACAAATTGACACCAATTCTTTAGCTCTTCAGCATACTGTGGTGCTGAAAATGTCCAGTTCAAGTGAGTGAAGTGGAAAACCTGAAAACTTAACAAAGAAATTAATCAAATGGTATGAAGCCACACTGGAAATATTCCCTCTTGTGGAAAAAAAAAAGTCTTTCAGACTCAAAACCTTGGCCATATCACTTCATATGTAGTCTGCCATTTATATGGTGTTTTAACCAGAATAAAGATATATCTAGAATTCAGAACAATCACTGCAAAAAACCCATGCGCAGTTCAGTGAAATTTTTCAGAGAATGAAGGAAAACAAACCAAACCAAACCAAACCTCCAGTGACCTGTCTGCTTTCAGCATTCTGGTCCCTAGTCAAAACGGAGGACACAGAATAGGAAACTTACGTTTCCAGTAGGTGCATAAGTTGTGCTTTGATGTTTGAACAGATGAGACATTAATCTTATTCTGCTACATCATTATGATAAAATTAACAGAGGTGCATGGATACGGAGTCTGTGAGGGTCTGACAACCTATTCCACTCTGCTAACTTGCTAGTACTTGACTAAGTCAGATAAAGAAAAAGAAATAAACAATGTGATAAAAAATTTCATGGTTTCAGTATGAAAGATCTAAGGCAGACTTTTATTATCTCATTCCACATCTGCAAGGATGTATTAACAGAACAGGTTAGTAATAACTGAGATACACTAAAATAAAAAATGTGAATACCTTTCCTTATGCAGAGCATAAACAGAAGCACTGATCCAAAGATAGCAGTCATAACGAGAACTGCTCTGACAAAGCGTCTGCTCTCGGTCCGGTGAACACTATCAGCTGAATCTTTAAGAAAAACAGGTGAGTGAAAGACTTAACGTAATTGCATAAGCTTCTCCCCTTCCCTTTCATTTTCACCATATTATTTTTGCTATGAGCACTTCAGACACAGAAAAAGAATTTTAGCTTGTGTCTAAGGTCAGGTGTTGACAGTGGATTTCACCACATCACATTATCCCAATAAAGGAAAAAAAAGAAAGAACATATTCATATTTCTTTTTGCTTCCTTCATTCCATGTGATAGTGCCTTTGATTCCTGTCACAAATCCTGCTCATCACCAAGATTCAACATGCTACATCTGGCTTAGTTTCCTGTAAGGACTACAGGAAAGAGCTGATTGAGGAAGAGAACGGAGAGTCCCTTTCATCTGGTAGAGCTCTGTATGCAAAACATAAGTGGCCTCCTTGAATCTGAGACATGTTTCTTGCTAAAACCAAATTCGGCCCCTCACCACCTGTTGAAAGGATAACTTGGCTTTCCCACTCTCAGCTGCCTGTTTCCACCCCTTCTCAGTCCCAAGAAGTGTGCTGGCACAGGCATTTTAAAAACTATGGTGAACTGGACCAGGGAAATTACCTGACCAAGTAACATTTGGATAAATAGAGATGCTATTTCTGAGCTGGATCAAGTCTCCAGTCTGGTTGGAAGCTTGTGGAAACATATCAGGGTGCAATGCAGAAATTAAAAGATTAACCAAAGGCAAAAGTAGTAGGGGTGGTACGCAGTTAAAAGGTCTAATGAGAAATTGTATTTGTCTTCTCATTTCATGCATCCTCCTTCAATCCAGACTTTAAGAGGACAAAAAAATGTGTGAACAGTTTGTGAAATTTAAATATTCTCAGAGCAAAGGCTGTGCTGACAGGAAAAGACCATATTGTCCAAATTTGTTTGATGGTTATCATCAGTAAAACAGAAGATTTTTGGAAGGTGTGTTTAATTTATATGGAAAGGTTTCATTACTGGTGAGACCGCATCTGGAATATTGTGTTCAATTCTCGGCCTCTCAGTTCAAGAAAGACAGGGAATTGCTTGAAAGAGTCCAGCACAGGGCCACAAAGATGACTGAGGGAGTGGAGCATCTCCCTTCTGAGGAGCGGCTGAGGGAGCTGGGTCTCTTTAGCTTGGAGAAGAGGAGACTGAGGGGTGACCTCATTCATGTTTATAAATTGGTAAAGGGCGAGTGTCAGGAGGAAGGAGCCAGGCTCTTCTCAGTGATAGCCGGTGACAGGACAAGGGGCAATGGGTGCAAGCTGGAGCATAGGAGGTTCAACGTGAACACAAGGAAAAACTTTTTTACTGTGAGGGTGACAGAACACTGGACCAGGCTGCCCAGAGAGGTTGTGGAGTCTCCTTCTCTGGAGACATTCAAAACCCACCTGGACGTGTTCCTGTGTGACCTAGTCTAGGTGATCCTGCTCTGGCAGGGGGTGTGGACTGGATGATCTTTTGAGGTCCCTTCCAACTCCTAATGTTCTGTGATTCTGTGTGATACTAGGCTCTGAGCTATATGCTTTTCAAATAATGGAACTTTTTAACACTCAGACTCAATTTTCACATTAATTGAGGTCATGCAAAATTCCTGTCCTTGAACTCTACCCACATGTGCATGATGAACGTATTAGTATGAACACTAATAGCAAAACTTAACAACACAGGTATTTCTTTTTAACCTTTTCAAAATTAGATAGGAAAGAGAAATGAATCACGGCTGACTCAACAGAGTCAAAATGACATAGTACCTTGAAGTGTATTACCATAAATTAATTTAGAAATGTTACCTGCTATGTGTAAAATGGCTGATGTATTCTCTTGAAGCTCTTTATTCCAGAATATACAGTAAAAATTCTCATCAATCCTACTTTTGATTGTAAGGGTACTTGTCACACGATACAGCTGGTCACTTCCAGTTTCGTAACTTGTGTTTGCCTTATCAGTCAAATCTTCATATTCTCTGTTTCTCCATATCACTTCAGCTCGTGGGTATCCTTCTGACTGACATGTCAATTTCCATGTGTTGTCTCCTATGCTCACCACTCCTTGGCTTATAGTTCTATAAGGAGCTAAACAAATGGAAGAAAACAATTACTAGTAGGAAGCTAGAAGAATAGCATATATTAGCAAGTCACCTTTTCTTTATTCCCAGCCCTTGGCCAACCTTCTCTTGATCAGTTTGGATTTCATAAATAATGTTCTTGACAGGAAAAGTATATATCACTATTGTGTCTCTCTATAGTAACTGAAGGTACAGGAGTTATTACAATTTTGACACTATTTAGAAAGTTACATTAGCTTTCTGGTCTTTGACCTGTCTAACAGGTTTTGCCACACCATTTCTTATATGTCATTATGGGAAATAAAGGACAGAACATGGATTCAACCTACAGTTATACAGCTGACAACAGCCCTGTGGCGGCTCCTGTCTCCGGAGAGGTTTCTTTAAATGCTAACCCAGACAGGTCTGACTTCAGGGACTCCTCTGAAATCTTTTAACAGGATCACATAGCACTGAACCTCCTGCAGTAGCACTCACCCTTAACTTTCAGATTGACCGTCTTGTAGTCAGCTCCCCCATAGCCAATAAGGCAGCGGTAAAACCCTGCATCTCTGAGCTTCACATTGGTGATCTGAAGGAGAGACTGTCCCAAGTTCAGTTTCTCTTTCAACAATTTTATTCTTCCCTTAAAGTCACTGTGCTGACTTTTGAAGTCTTCCTCTCCTTTGAGAAGCACATAAACCTGCTTCTTTAAGTCATCTTTCTTTTCCCAGCTGACACTTAAATCTCTAAATTTTAATTTCCCATTCACTGGAAATGTGCATTCCATCGTCACATTGTTCCCATATTCCACAGTGTAAAGTGACTGGGGAGCTTCAACTGTGAATAACGCTGAAAAACAAAATTTGGAAGAAAACTTAATTTTTCAAATATAAGCCTAATCTTCGAAGTCATGTCTTACCACATACATAGGATATTTCAAGGACCAGAAGTATTTTACCTGTTCAGAAAAGTTAATTTTTACAATGCACTTGCCCAAGTTTGGGACAAACTGGGCTATTTATCTCTGTAGACACCTGGTTTGCACACACATACAGTATGCTGCTCTACTAAAAATAAGCAAGTGTGTGTGCAGAGCCACTCACAGCCGTTTGTTTCAGAACACTGCCATGGTAACAGGCAATTGTTAGTGCCTCCAGTGGGAGTGTTCTGTTTATATGTATATATGTCAACTGTTTATACACATTATGCTAAAGAATACATGACAATTCCCAGGTGTGACACTGCCAATAAAACTTTTTGTGTAATGCAAATGGTACCTCATCTGAAATTGTGCCTGTGCTGAAACACCAACAGGGATTTCAACCTAGCCCTGTATCAAAGCATGCATATTAAGCACATGTATCTAGTTTAATGTAAAAGCATGCTAAGACCTTTTTTAATTAAAACACTAAGGAAAAAAACCCCCAAACACTAGCACCTGAAGGAAAACTGAGGAATTAACATTTCTGTGCTTATACATGGAAAGGAAACATACTTAAACCATTCTACTGCCTCTCACGAGTCAGCTTCTTACCATTTAGGAAATGCCAGTAGAATAAAAATATATACAAAAGCAAAGGCTTTTCCATGATGTAGATAGAACCTAAAATGATAAAATAATAGAGAAATATCAATATCTGCTCAATTTCTAACTTGGACTGTAAAATACACACAAGGAACTGGACAGAAGGCACTGAATTCCACTCTAGCTGAAAATATGACAAAATTGTACCTTGAACTACAGTAGCTGCAGGGGCAGAAAGATTCCTGCATGGGTCCAGGAAGGAAATCTAATTTTATTTACTTTAAACATTTGTCCTTAGTTATGGCAAAAATACAAGCTTTATCACTACCTGTCAAATAGTAAATAAATACTCACAAATATGCAATTGTTCCCCTAAACTGTAGCAGGGAGCGTTGCTCCTGCTGGGAGGAGAATGGAGGAGTTTTCTGTATGCTTTCAGTGGAAGAAATAGAACTCAGTTTTTTCCCACTTCTTTGCCTTACTTTAACATATTGTGAGCATATCCTGTTTTATAACACCTGGTCTTATGGTATTTATCATGGGGCACGTGAAGTTACAGATACTGTGAACAGAATTCATTTTTACACATATTTACACAATAGTGCCTTTGTAAAACAGAGACAAAAACAGTCAGCCCACAGACAAAATCTATTTTCTAGAATTTCTGCTGCTTGATCTCTGAACATGTAAATTATTTCCATTTTCTGTCAGAAGTTTTCCCCCTCTTCACTGACATAGCTTTTATACTTCCACACAACACTTTAACTTCATAAAACACTGATTAATATCAATTCATACACTTAGCCTTCTCCCAGCCACTGCACTTGCTAAGTATGTATTTTAAGTCAGAGCAATACCAGTGTTAAACACTGCCATAATTTTTTCAAATTACTCTCAAGACAAATTCAAGCTCACTGGAAGTCTTTTGTCAGTGCAGAGAACTGTAGAATTTTATTGAAATAAAGTCCTCATTTTGGATACCCCAAGAGTCATAAAAATAAGGAAAGATTGCCTTCAACTGTTTTCTAGTGGTCGTTTCTGTATTTGCATAAAAAATTAGGCAACTGTAATACCTGTCACACTTCCTAACTGATGAAATTCTATCTGGACTGCAACTCTTAACAATTGCAATATGTTTTTGCCTTTCTCTCTCTGGTTGTCAACTTTAAGGTGATAATAAAGTAACAATATTATCCTGAATCATAAGACACTTTGTGTGTCTTTACAGTGTTGTGGCTTAAAGGAGTTAGCTCCTCATAAGACTTTGATTCAAGCTACTTTCACCCCTTGAGATTGCTGCTGCCTGATCCCAATAGTGGCTTTGCAGAAGGCAACACAGATGGAATTGAGAGAAGGAGGCACCAGCAATTACAAAAGGATGTTGTGCTAACAGGGACTGGAAAATATAAATAAGATCCTCAGGGTGAAAAACCTGTCTCATTGATAAATAAATCTCAGGCTTATTAATGTGGTTAGGTACCCAATTCATTCCTTAGCCACAGCTAATGTTCTCAAAAGCATTAGCAAACTGCTGCCTTATCCAGTGGGTACCCAAGAGTTTCTAGTGATGTGCACACATGAGAGTACTTCCATCATAATGCCGCTGACTAACAAGAGTCCAGAGCACCAACAAGCTTCAGAGGGAGCTCCCCAAACATGTCAGAGACACACTGATCTCAGCAGTGTGCTCTGATCACGCTGACTCCAGAGGCAAGCCTGCAGAAGAGTGAGCCACTGAGGCTAACGAGCATAGATGTGCACCTCCCTGCACTACCCATGCCAGAAAGACCAGAGCTGTAGCACGCTCAGCCCCAAAATACTTTCTACTTCTTTTAAAGTAGAAGCTGCAGCTGAGAGGCTGCTCAGAACGAATACCATGTACACTACGGTGTCTGAAAGATACCTATACCCATGCATGCAACCCACACACACTTTTTTGGTCAGGAAATCCGAATGTCGGTTATGAACTCCAGGAGAGGTGTTCTAATTAGTTCCCGCAAAATATATAACAACAAGTGAGCTTTCACGGTTCTAAGACCCATACTTGTATCCTGCAGTCGCTGAACTTTAGTTTGTCTGTTTTCTCCCACTGTAGAGGAAAATGAGCCTTACTACACACAGAAGAAGTACGACTATTACTTACAAAATTCCTGAGAAAGACTGAGAAAATCTGCTGCTGTACTCAATTTTTCATTTTCAGAGAAAGAAAGTAGCTCCAGGTCAAATCCAGATGTGCATGAAAAAACTTGCTGCAATAACCATTACAGATCCTTCTCCTGTTTCACCCTGAGCAGAAGGATCCTCTGGCTGGGTCAGCTGAAGCAGTTCAAGACCTAGATACCAATCAAAGATCTTTACCCAAGCTGCAATCTTCTCACTATTTTTCTTACAAAGCCTACCACAACACCCCTTCTCTCCTCCTGCTGGCTCCAGACATCTATGGCACACACAGTTTTATTTTAAAAAAAAATATTCACTGTGCAAAATGCTCTTCAGTGTTGCTGCTGTATGTTTCCCTCACAATCAAATGAAGAAGACAGGAAAAACAGAACTATTTGCCCAGGGACTTCTTGTGACAGAACTTTAAATGTTGATGTAACTCCACCTTCTTTGGGAAACTTCCCCATTATTGGAAATTTCCCCACTAGGGAAAATTCTTTCTTGCTAACAGTGATTCACTGTAACCAGAGGCAGAAATGTTGGGAAAATTAGTACATAAAATGCCATAGGCATTTTAAGAAACAGGTCATCTGATCAAAGCTATAGGTGAGCAACAATCCTTTGATCATCAGTGGCAGGAAGTCATCCATCTACACAAACAGTCTAGTGCCAAAGGGCTGCTAAAAATGACCAGAAATGTCTACACAACTGACTCATGTCTGCAAAGTCACAAGTAGGAGTAACAGGGTGAGCACTGCCTACCCTTCTCTGGTAAGAACAGGAATTCTCTCCCAAAAATGTCAGCACAATGAAGACCCCTTGCCACTGTGTAGTGCAAGAAAAGTTAAGCCTATGCATTAGCTTACCAAAAGATAAAGAGCACTGTCTTTTTCTTGATTCTATAAGTAATTTAAGAATACAGAAAAAAACCTCCAAGTATTAGAAGTCAAAGGATGTACTCACATTAACTTGCAGATCGTAGTGGGATAACCTGGTCAACAGCACAAAGTACAACTTTAAATGTATGTTTCAGTGTAAATTAATCCACTTATGTTGTCTTTGCATATTCCAAAAAAGGGCTGAGAGAAGAGTTAAAATACTGTGAAACAATCACTTAAAAGTTTTCCAGAAGTATTTTCTTCTTTCTACTTGACAGCTCACTCACAGTATCTGTCATAGAAGCAAAAACACATAATACACAAAACTGGAAAGAATTAACCTTTTTACTTGACATGTGGGAGGAACATGGGGACAGTGGTATATGAAACTGCTGAATGTAACATTTTGGTTCTGGTAACCTGAAACTACCTTAGGATGTTGAGGGGGTGGATTTCCACAATAGGTGAGAGTGCTGAAGGTTAACTCCCATTGATTTCTTCTGTGCTTAAAAACAGGTTTAATTCTATTTTCTCATTAAAAAATGCACAAAAAGAAACGGAAATAAATTTGTAAAATACTATGACACCACAGAAGCAATTGATGTAGCTAGCTTTCAATGTCATGAATTTAGCTTCCTCTTTTTCACTGCTTGCCTTGAGGTCAAAAGGTTGCTTTTTCCATGTAAGTTATTTGGTAGCAAATAAAAGATCACGGCAGATGGGTTGTTTTTATTGTTTTGGTGGATTATTTTTTTTTTACATACATACATATATATACACACCCATCTCCATACACATGTTTTACAGCATAGTTACATACTGCGGTTGCTGGTTCTTTGTTTGGTTTATCTCTGTTCTGCGACAGATTTTCGCCTGTCGCTGG